GAACTGAATTACAAAGATTTTTGCCACGTTAGAAGAACTGAATTACAAAGATTTTTGCCACGTTAGAAGAACTGAATAGAGTAACAATTTTTTAAAAAAAAATAAAAAAAAAATACATAATAGATTTCGTAGATTTCGTAGATTCGTAGATTTCATATAGATTTCGTAGATTTCGTGTAGATTTTTAGATTTCACATTCACAAATAGATTTATTCGTTATCGACATTATCGACATCAATTATGTATTAAGAACGATAGAGTAGTTTATGCTTATGTACTCATAAGGAATTATGAATTTTTATGAATAAAGCAAATATTTGTTCATGATTATTGTGTATATAAATTTGGTGGTATCATATTCTTTTTTTTTTCCTTAGAAAAATGCAAAGATAAAAATAAATAGTTAAGAAAAACAGGTTTCGTATCGAAAGTTCTTTTTTTTTATTTTATGAAACATAAAAATTATCGGTGAAGAAAAGTTGTTTCATATTAAGCAAAGTTTATTTTTTTTTCTCTTTTATTATAATGAAAATGAGGAAATGAAGAAAGAAAAATGATTAGTTATATAACAATGTAAACAGTACACAAAAAATTTTTTGAAAAAGTAAATAGGAAATGATAACCCATCGATTTTCGGAAAGATGTTCTAGAAGGAAGTCTAGGAAGAAAGAATGTAGCACTAAGATAATCCAGATTTCTCTACGGAACATTTGGCGCATCATTGTGAAACTCATTAAATTTCCCCGTAAAAAAAATTTAATCTTTAAATGTCATAGATGGAAAAATGCGAGGAAAAAAGACATGAGATAATTGCAGGAATTCTGATACAATGAAAATACTCAATGTTAAAAAATTATAAATTAAAAAAAAAATTTTAATTTACTAAAGGTGTGAAAATCTTCTTACGAAATATGCAAATAATAAATTGGCACAATTTTTTTTTTTTTTGAAGTAAAAAAAAAAATGGAGTTTCAAGTATCGTAAAAATGTAGTAAAAAATTTATAAAATTTGTTAAATTTTATTAATTTGACATTTGACATTGTGTTTAAGTATTTTGGAATACTAACTGTAAAGAAAAGAATTATAATAATGTTGGAAGCAAATTATTATGACCAATAAGCCAAGGAAGTTTCCAATGGATGAAGGTCATTGCGGATCTTCACTGTTCTTACTAAATATCGTAATATTACAGTGCATTAAGAAAGGCTTTGGACATGATACAAACCTTGTGACTTTTATATTATTAATTGATTATCATATCTTTGTTCTGTTTATTGAACTTCAGTATCATTTTTTTTTTAATATGTAAATAACTAAAAAATGAGCGGCCATCAAGATGTACATGCAAAAGCCATCCCACAATTATGGGACAGAGGAATCCAAACTGCAAAAGAAATACAAAAACGAACGGGTATTCCAAGATCTACAGTATATTACAATATTTCTAAATTAAAAAAAAACTGGTGTCGCCCCCGAAAAATCTCTTCCCGAAGCTCCAAGTTTTTAGTCAAACAAGTAAAAACTAATCTATCAATTTCAACAAAAGCACTGGCCACCAAACTTTTAATAAAAGTTCAGGTCTCGCACGTAACCGTTTGGAATCATTTGACTGAGCTTGGCTATATAAAAAAAAATCGAGCAGAGGTAACGCCAATGCTTACAAGCGAACACATGCAAAAGCGTATAGCGTGGGAAAAAAAATATCGAAATAATAATTGGAATAGAACTGTTTTTACTGATGAATCTTCATTTCAATTGTTTCATAATACAGTACAATATTGATACAAAGAAAAACGTCCGGTACGACGAGTCCCAAAAGATAAAAGAAAAATTTTTTCCT